TTGTGTTAAGTTTCGGGGCAAAAGCGAGGGAAAGGGGAACTCTGGAAAGGGAAGAGGGGTTGGTAAGGGAGCGTTCAGCTCTAAGTCCTGCAAAATTTGCAGAGTAATGAGCCTCTTCGATCATATTTATTAACTCAGCAGCTTAGAGGTTTTGCTCTGTTAAGTAGCTAAGCTATCCATGGAAGATACTCACTTTGTGCAGCACTCAAATCACACACTCTGACTCTGTACCTTGTATGGTTCCTCCTTTGCCAGTCTAGCCCAGGATCTGAAAAGGCCATTCATGGCTCAGCCTACCAGGCCCCATGTCACTGGTCACAGACTACTCAGGCAATGGAAGAAGCTACACTGTACCAAGACAGCAGCTGTGGCCAACAGTAGCAGTCAAAGTGGAAATAAAATGTCTCTTTCCCATGTCAGAGAATGGAAGAAGGGAGGTACAACCCAATACAATTACTTGTGGTGACAATGAAGTTCTAGAAATTCATCTGATGGCAATATTTCTCACCACACAAGGGGGTCATACATCCACCTTTTAGTGAATAAAGTACTGAAGGGCAAATTGCCAGAAAGATGGGCAGTGCAGGTGACTATCTTCCCTGTCATTAGCATGCTTACTGTGTGACTGCATATCCCAGTCCTCAGAAAGGAGTGAACACCTTCCCTTAATTTTCCTTCTACCTACAGGTTTGCTAAATGATAAAGCGATCTCATGAACAAGCAAAGATAGCAGTCCTGTTCTCATAAGAGCTGGTCATTTTTGTACCAGGCTTACCACAGTCTCTAACAATTATGTAACTTCCTCACTGCAATTTTTTTGGGGGGACACCTGGGCTTGGAGGATGGCTTTGTTTTCATAAAAAAGGGCAGCACCTGTTAACTTATATTGTGTAAACTGCTTTCAGGAAGTAAGGTAAATTCCTTAAAAACTTGCATTACAACAAAAAGAGTGCTATTACTCTTCAAATGTAAATATGATACTACTATTTTTAGAATATTAGGGGTGGGTTGGAACTGAGACATTCACATATTTTTATTCTTTATTTTTCCTTGCACCAAATATTTATTAAATAACTGCTATTGTGCGAGAAAGTACCAGGACCTGTAGGTATAAACATAAATAAGACATTTCCTTTCATTCATAGGTTTCTTTTATAAATTGTTGAGGGAATATTAAAAATTCAGTGTGTCCACCAAATCTGGTTTTAACCCTACCTCTGACCAAGGTAACCAGTAGTTACTGGCATCAAATTAATGGCCATGGCTTTATTCCTACTAACTTTAGAACGGTCAATAGCAGAAAGAATAATTCTCAGCCCTAAGCTCCCTCTACATTAATACCAGAGAAAATAACTCATTAAATATTTTTAAATATTCAGCTGAAGAGTATTCCAGGCAACCTTCATCATCCATGAGTCAGAAGGCAGCCCACACTGACCTCTTGTCATAGAAGTATCATTTTCCCACGTTATATTAAGACTAATTTTCATAGAGCCTCTGAATATAACTGGTGTGAAAAATGGATAAAATGAATTAATTCTCTGTTTCTTAGTTTTAATCGAGCTATAAATCTTAGTATTTGACCAACCTAACTCAGAAATATCCTTTAAGTAAAATAAAAGCTAGTAGAGTTATTCATTCAATTTTTAAAAGGCTGCTTTATAACAAACCAATGCAGTGTGCAAATATAGAACTTAATTAAAATACTATATATAAAATATTAACAGCTGCAGTTATTAACATTACATTAAATTCCCTTGAGCTAGGCCAACATAAAATGAGCTCTCTTTTCTTTCAGTTTAGTAAAGGGCAGAACTTGGTGTAGTGAATGAGCTTTAGTTTTTACACTGTTTGTCTCAATCCACTAATCTGAAATTGTAATCACATAAAAGTACTTTACTAGCTGCACATCACTGAACATACTAACTTAATCTTTCCTTTGGATTCCAACAAAAATCTCTTGTCTTATTTTCTTTCTTAATGTAAATTATACTGTCTTAAAGCATCCCTCTCATCTTTCCATCCAGCACTGAACTTTCTAAATTAACACAGATATTCTCTGCTTTTGACTTTTTTCCAATGAGGGCACAAATAAGTCAGTTAATAAACTATTGACAATTTGGAAGAATTAAAGAACTTAAAGAAAAAAAAGTGGATTTTAATTGGCCTGGATTAAGGCATTTATCCAATTCTTATTGTAATAGGTCATCCAAGGAACTTGGGAAACTAATTAGACCACATCAACACTTAAGAGTAGAATAAATTACCATTATCAAATGAATAATGGCTGGTTTTGTTTTCCTTTGTACATTGTCTGCCTTTATTAAATTTTGACATTAACCCTGTATTTCTTCATATAGTTAGAGGTGAATGAAATACAAATGATCTGAAGTATGGTAATTTTTGCCCCTCTGAACTTCCAAAAGATTTCCACTTAATGGGGCTACTGGGTGGCTCAGTTGGTTAGGTGTCTGCCTTCAGCTCAGGTCATGATCCTTGGGATTCCTGCTCAGTGGGGAGTCTGCTACTCCCTCTCCATCTCCCTCTGTTCCTCCCTCCACTCATGCTCCTGCATTCTCTCTCTCTCTCAAATAAATAAAAACCTTTTAAAAAAACAGATGTCCACTTAATCTAATCAGTTATGTTTTAAATTATTATGAAGTCTGAAATGCCTGGGTGGCTCAGTCGGTTAAGTGTCTGACTCTTGATTAGACTCAGGTCATGATCTCAGGGTCGTGAGATCAAGCCGCACATCGGGTTCAGTGTGGAATCTGCTTGAGATTTTCTCCCTTTGCCCCTCCCCTGGATTACACTTGTGCTCTCTATGTCTCTCAATAAATAAATAAACAAATAAAAATAAATTATTATGAAGTCTAACATGTACATACATACTTGAGAGTAATTTAAAAATTTTATTCTAGGTGTATTTGAAGTTAAACTGTATCATCCAGAAGTTAATCTTTCAAAGCACAAGATCAGTCCATGCTCCATTCCTCTTTTTTAAGACTTCTGTTTGGAAGTTCCTAAGTAGACAATCAACTCTGCTAACTCTGGTAGAAACAGGCTGGAGGAAGTGAAAGGGAGGTACTCTATTGCTATATTTCTGTATTCTCCTCAATGTACACTTCTCAGCTTAAATCAGAAAAAAACCCCAAAAAACAAAGAGGAATCCAATTTCTAATGGAATCAGTATAATGCAGCAGGGAAAAAAAAATTGTTGTCTACCTCAGTCGCCTAAGATAATAGAACTGGTAAAAGAAGTATGGATAGCACAGACTGGTAACTGATCTTCCCTGTGGAAGATTTCAGGGAAACGAAAGAACAGAGGGAGACCAAGTTTCCAGAGGGGGATGAATCAGAAATCGTCTCCGAGATATCTGAGGATCAGAGCAATGGATTCTGACCTTCCTTCAATTTTCCGCCTTCACCTCTGGCTCCCTCCCAATTCCCATTCATTCCATGTCTTTATTTTATTGGGCAAAAAGAGAGAAAAAATATTTGTAGGATGTCAATCACAATCTTTTTGATTGATGAGCAGGAAAACAAGGCATGACTAAGAGTGAAATAAGACACAGTTTTGCTGAGGGAAGCTTGGAGGACACAAGTGACAAGAGGGTCTATGAAAGAAGCACTCACCCCAGGACTGCAGCACGGCCCTCCTAAAATAGAATGGTGATCACAGATGACTGGATCTGAAAGAAGCACTAAGTGTTTTCTGGTCTGTGCTGATCATTGGCTGGAAAGTTTTGCAAAAATGTAGAATCCTAGATCCCATCATTGTTGATACCCCTTCATCAGGTCTGGGAGCCAGTCAATACTGGGTCCTTCCCAATATGTTTCACAAAGGAAGAAATTCAGACCCACAAAAAATGCCTTGGGCAAGCTTACATCGCTATTTAGTGGAAAATCCAGAGTGCACGGTATGGTATATAAGTAAATAAGGGAGTGTAGGGAGGGAAGGGAGGAGAGTATTTAGGTCTAAATTCAGTTGTCTTCTATTATAAGAAGCTAATTTGATTTGTAAGTGAGAGGAACAATCAGAGCGTGGGAGCACAAGGTCAAGAAAGTAAAAAAGACATAATATATAGTTAATATACCTAAAATAAGTTGCTTCCCTCTCTCCCTCTCTCTCTCTCTCCCTCTTTCTCTACTTCTCTCTGTCTCTCTCTCACTTTCTGGGTTTCTACAAATGCTATTCCCTCTGCCTGGATGATCCTTGTCCCCACAAACCTAATGCTAGTCAATTCCCTAAGCCCCCTAATCCAATTTCAAATTTCAAAGTAAGCAAATATTATTTCTTCAGACCTTCCCTACAATGCCCCCACCTTTCCCCAATCACACACGTGCACACACATACACAACACAGGCACACACACACACACACACACATATCTCTAGGAAAAAAAGCATAGCAAAAGGAATCCAGAGAAAAGAATTCCTATTGGCTCAATTCCAAACATCTTTCATTAGAAAGGGAAGCTATTTGGAAGTCAACAGAGTTTTGCCCGTGTTCTTGAAATCCTACTGCACTGATGAAAGTGTTTATGATACCACAGATCCAACTTGGATAAAAATTAAACTAAGGATTTTCTATGTGGATTGTTGAATTTTCTTTTTTCATATTTTGTATTTGCCACTCCAGGCACCTCCAAACATCCAATGATATAAGCAATAATTGGGAATACAAGAACCCTGAATTTTGTCACTTGCAAATTCAAGAGAAAATTTTGTGCAAGATTTGGCACTTGATTATCCAATAAATCTTCATTTAAGAAGTGATTCCAGAAGACATTTGAGCATTTGGGGTTTGATGCCCAACTATTATGATTAATTAGCTCCTTCTGATTTGTATATGATGTGAAACAGAAATAATAACAATTTCCTTTACCCTAAAGACAGAAATGCAGAAAATCTTTAATATGTCTTGGTTTTAATTCCCTTGGTGAGTGGGGAAAGGAGTGTTCCAGCAGGTAAAGAGTATAGAAAAAATGATAAATTACCTGACCGTCCATCTCTCTGGAAGTCCACATGATACCATTCTCCATCATTCACCTTCTTCTGTAGGGCTTTGATTTTTATTGTACCTGACCCCATGTCCAGGAGGAGGTAGAGATGGCCATCTAGCATTTCAATAGCAAAGAAGTCAACCTTTATCATCTGAGGGTGCTTGGCATCTTTTTGGTGTCTTGGCTTGCCATGGCTAAATAAAATGAGGCCATTTGGCTCTGTTGTGCGGAAATCAAATGATATGGAGCCTGTTTTCTTTGCATTCCATTTAGGCAAAGAGATGAAAGACTCTGGGGTTTCAAAGGTGATTGGGTCCAAAGTTGCAACATTCTCACATTTAAATGCTACCACTCCGTGGATCTTCATCTTAGGGTCTCCTTGCTTGGCAAGTCGAGATAATTCCAACCTTACATCGTTATTTTTATATACAACCTGTGGGCAGAGGATTAGAGTGAGAAACCAGGCCCATATTTTAATATTTAGAACTTGTCTTCAGTTCATATAAATTGCAACACATGTAACACAATGTTTAGTGCATTTTGATAAATAAGATAGCTTTTTCAGCCAAATAAAATTCAAGTATCAGCTCATTAAATAGTAACCATTCCAATCTAATTTCACTCAAATACTGTGTATATACACACACCCACACTGGTTGTAGATGACTCAAATAATTTGAGTGAATCTGCATACAGTTTTCATTATTTCAAGTGTGTATAGACTCAAACTTACATTTTGCTTTTGTTGTTGGCTATTATACTTTGTTTATTAAATATAAAGGTTTTTCAGTTTTCCCACTACTAAAGTATTTGAAATTAAATATTTTGAATGACAGTTCCCTAAAATATAGGATCTTGTTTATGGTCTATATAGCCACAATGGGTATAAACTTTGTAAGATAATCCCAACACGTTGAGGTAGAAAACATCCTGAATTTTCTCAGAAAAATCATAAAATACAACTAAAACTGCAGAAGCTCTCTTTTCCCCCTTGGCCTACATTAACAACTGTTTGAATAATGTTGGGTAACTTTGGAACACTGTTGGCTCTAAATCCATTCAACTTGTATTACTTGTGTTCCATTTACTTTCAAGTATACAAATGAGGAACAAAATTTGTCCTGTTCTCTCATTTCCCAAGGCACTTCATCCAAATTGGCTAGGTGGTTCTGAATGCTTGTTGATAGTCCGATGGCTTTTTGGACTCTGAACGGCACATTGGACAAATCCACCAGAAGAGCTCCCAATATTATGCATCTGCTATCACATCACCTTAATAAACTTGAAGCCATTCTGACATAAAGATAAAAAGAGATCCATACCCCGCCTCTATAAAATGCATACCATGCATAATTACATTTCCAAAATACATATGTCATACTGACTTAAGAATAAATTAGCTATCTGTGTCCAGAGAACTATCTAAAGTATTTTAAGAAGCCATTCAAAAGTTCATAGCAGTCAACACTGACAGATTCTAAATTCATTTATATTCATATAATAGAAAAAAAAAAAAGACAGCCTGTGTCTGATTAGTGCTATAAAGTTAACTGGTCAATACAGCAGTTTATTTCCTCCAAACCTATGGCAAAACCTAACTAAGCCAACAGTTAATGTGGCTAATGAATTTCGTGATATGATTTGTTAATGGATACTTTATTTTTCAGTGATTAAGAGTGTAGGCTCTGATTATCAGACTCTTGGAGTTCAAATTCCAATGCTAGCATTACCCAACTGCATGATCTCTCCAAGCCTTATTTTTTTTTTCCTTTTCAGGGAGGTAACGCCTTACAGGATGGTTGTAATTATTAAGGAAGAAAATGAATGTAAGTGAGAGAATCTACATAAAGGCAATCAATCCAATGCCAGGCATATTGTAAAATTTTCAATAAATATCAACTACATCAAACTACATGATAATAAATACCATCTCTTCATTATCATCTAGTAAACACAGAAATAATGTAAATTAATTCATTTTAAGGAAATGCTTAGAAATTAAGCACACACATATAATTAGTATTTTATACCTGATTTGCGCCAAGCAAAGAAGTCACATCTTTCCACTGCTAGTCCCGGTGTTTCAGTTTATATTTATCTTGAAGGAGGATTATTATAAAGAATGCCATATCCATTATTCTTTGAACAAATATGTATAATGGTTTAATAAACAAATGCTGACAACAACAGAAAATGAACTTAAGCAATAACAAAAGGGAATTAGATTAATTCTTTTTTTTTTTTAAGATTTTATTTATTCATTTGAGACACAGATACAGAGAGAGAGAGAGAGCATGAGCAGGGAGAGAGGCAGAGGGAGAGGGAGAAGCAGGCTCCCTGCTGAGCCAGGAGCCCAATGTGGGGCTCGATCCCAGGACCCTGGGATCATGACCTGAGCCGAAGGCAGACGCTTAACCATCTGAGCCACCCAGGCGCCCCGGAATTAGATTAATTCTTAAGTATACTTTCTTGAAGAGAGAAAGAGCTATTAAGCCTTGGGAAAGTTGATTTAGGATTGTCTTTCTTTGGGGATCTTTAGAAGTGGAGAAAATGGTTTCTATGGATGAGTTTCCAAGTTTTTTAACCTCTCACCATGCCTTTCAAGCTACCCAAGCCTATATTTTTTTCCACTTTTCTTGGCAATTTATATTTTATTATTTGGAGATCCCTTGACAAAGATATTGATCAGGAATGAGTGTAGTATTCTCTGACCCCATTGATGCAGATGATAACGTTGACTATGCTAACACATTGCCCGTGAAATAGAACCACCGCAACAGAGTCAGGTGTTTCTGACATGAGTAAGTAGGTATAAGGCTGGGTATATTGCCTCATGAGTCTAATACCAGCTACAAAACAGTTGAGGGATGTGGGGTTAGGGCAATTCTAGGTAAGGATTTCAGTGAGTGATTTATGATCTCATAAGTGAGTTGGATGCCCTGGCGAAAAGAAGGGTGAAGAAGATGGTGAAGAAAAGTAGGGATTCCTTTGATCAGATAACTTAGGGTTAGCCATGCACACACACTGCCTCCACACCCAACCCCCCGCACCCCCCCCAAAAAAAAGAATCTCCACCAGAATCTATGCTTTGTGTAGACAGGGTTCTTGCTCACTGAAGTCAAGCATCCAGATCAGTGTCTGGCACAAAGCAGACACTCAATAAATATTTGCTGAGTATTGAATAAAATTCTTTATTCACTTTTTTTAACCTAGTCCCAGATTATAGACTATTATTAACAATATTTACAAATGTAGTTATGTAAAGCAGAATGTGGTATTGCAGACTAATCTCACAAACTGGCTACTATGTTTGGTCTATTTCTTTAGAAAAATGTGGAAGCTGCTCTGCATGTTCAGTTATAAACGGCAAGCTGGCCTGTGTATTGGAAAACTTTACCTTCAAACTCATATTGTGGGGTTTAAATTACTTTTGGAATGAAAAACACCTGAGTTAAAATTATCCAGAGGTAGAATCATTTTCCTAGAAGAACTATTTTGAGGAGAAGCATGATGTACTGTGTTTTTCCTTCTCGTTTTGTATTCTTTGAAAGGTAACTCCAGAAGACAGAAAAGCAATTTAGGATAGGCAGGCTGATAGTTCTCACAACTACACTACTACTGCATCTGACTCAGATTTCCTAATCACCCTACTTTTCCAAAGTTAGACATACTCTTCAAATGACCTGAATAGAGTTCAATTATAATAATAAGTAGACAGCAAGCACTCCAAATCTTTTAAAAATTCACATGTAAGCTATTTTTTTGCTTCTTTCTGAGAAATATGGTTCTGAATCATTTATAATTATTCATATATCTTTTTTCATATATTTTTCATTTATGTCAAAAGTTGTAATTTATTTAATAGTTTCAACTTTCAAAAATATCTACATACTCTATCATCTTAACAATTAGTGATGATATTATTGCACACTCATTTGGGTCTGTTCATAAAATCAAGATTTCTTTGGGGATATTGACCTTTCCTTTTGTTTTTTTTAAGAGTAATTCACAATGTTGAATTTCACTTCTCTGCTTCATGGGCTTATATCATAAATCCCAAAGGGATAAAAACATGAAAGAGACTAGATTTTTTTTTGTCATCTATAGAATTTTTTAAATGTCCCTCATACTTAAATATGCAAGAACAGGAGCAATATGTCTGTATTTTTATATTCCTAGGCTTGAAATATGAGGTAGACAGTCACTGAGTATTTTATTTGATCTTCAAATTAATCCTAAAAAGACAAGGGAAATAAATAGGTGAAAAAAATAAGTTTGAGAGTCTGGGTATAGACATAGTTTAATCACAAAGCTCTTATCTAAGTCAACTTGCCTAACCTATCTCTCAGTTTCTTAATTTATATATATATATATATCTAAAAAGGGAAAGCATGTCATATCTATCAATCCTTGAGCTTTCTCTGCCTTAATCTATGTGATTTGGGACCAAGGTAAAAGAAGTTCTATTGCTCCTTCTCTATGTCTGGTTTTTCCCAGTTGTGGTTTTCATGTCAGGATATTGCTCTCTATTCTGAGATATACTGAAACACTAATCCGTTAGGTAAAGAGAATGTTCACTACATCTTTAGGTACACAGACATACATCAAGGATTATATCTATCTAAGGTTTGTACAGATGGTATTGAAGAACTGGTGGCTGAGAAATAAGGCCCTTTCCACAGGAAGTGGGAGTGTGTGAAATATGCGCATCAGTAGAAAGCATTTGCTACTCAAATAATAACTTTTTTATTGTTATAAATAAATGTTTAAGCTTAGAAATTTTCATGAGGCTCTTGAATTCATTAACATGCATTGATCAAGGCTTTTCATATCTTAACTATGAGAGTATACAGGTGATGGGATGGGCACTGCACATAAAGTCAAGGAGTGATGCAGGGATCTAGACTCAGTGGTGACCTCCCTGAGAACATGAATGGTTTATTCTAATCTGAGTCTTGGTTCTCTTCCATTCTTGGGAATACTAGTAAGTAAGGGCTAAGAATCTGGTTCTCAAGATTTCAAAGAGAATTGCAGGTCACCCACTTGCAATCCTGTGACCTTGTGCAAGTCCTTCAACCTCACAGAGGCTCACTTTTATCTGTAAAATGGAGTAATCATATCTACCACATTAGGAAATATAATAAATTATATTTCAATGAAATGCTAACAACAGGGCCTGGCATGGAGGAAGGGCCGAATATCAGCTGCTCTTGTTAGTGTTGTTATCATAAATAACAGTATTATTATTATTAATATTATTAATAACAGTATTATTATTCTGGGAGGGAATGAATGGAGTTGTAACAAAGTTAACAGCTAGCATGGTACAAAATAGATGACTGCTCAATGTTTTACAGTAATTAACAGCGCTGCAACCGCAGAATCAAGGAGATCAAAGCAGACTGGGGCTTCTTTTTGTATGCTGGCATGTAT